TCCATCGGCTATAAAAGGGAGTGTCTTCTACCCATTGAAAACAACTAAATTGAAGGCAAGCAAAACCAGACCCAGAGAGCAAGCATCATCTCTCACCTCTGGAACCCTTCAATTTCGAGCCACAACTCTCCATCTCCTCCAATTTTCTCTTCTAGCAAACTATTCCATATCTTGACAGACTTTTCGTCAAGCTGCTGGAAATTACTTAAACCACCCATCGTTCCTCCTCATCTCTCTCCCCCCTTAGCCAACCTTCTTAGAATCACTTCCCTTTCCTTAGAACTCCTGTTCCTCATAGGAATTCACAGCCTTCTCTCTGTTTATGATAAACTCATGTTTTTCTCTCTCTCAAATTGCTAAACTTGTGAAAGCTTAGCTCCCATGCCACAAGCTCCTCATGCCAAGCCATTCCATTGCTAATTTGTCACATTTATTTGGTTGATTGGTGAAAGAATCCTAGGTGTTTTCTAAGGTTGTCACTACTCCTTTCAAAACTCTCTTGGAGCCTGGTCTTTGAACTCAGAAATAGGGGCAACCTCCTCCGCTCATCCTTTACAGCAGCCCAAGCCCATTCGTCTGGCTGCTAGAAGAAAAAGACCCCTACAGTTGCGTACAATGTAAATTAAATGGATTTTTGTAGAAATGTCACTTGAACTTATACATCAATTTTAATTTGTCACCTTAAAGAAAAATTTAAGCAAAATGTCACCTTAAGTTTTCAAAATTCATGATTTGTCACCTGACTTTAACATTATCCAATTTTCCATCCATTTTGAAGGTTATTTTAGTCTTTCCAAGAAAGAGGGTTTACATTGCTTTATATTTAAATTATATAAAAAAGAGGGTTTACATATTGGAAAGACTAAAATACCCTTCAAAATGAATGGAAAATTAGATGATGTTAAAGTCAGGTGACAAATCATGGATTTTGAAAACTTAAGGTGACATTTTGCTTAAATTTTTCTTTAAGGTGACAAATTAAAATTGATGTATAAGTTCAAGTGACATTTCTACAAAAATCCATTTAATTTACATTGTACGCAACTGTAGGGGTCTTTTTCTTCTAGCAGCCAGACGAATGGGCTTGGGCTGCTGTAAAGGATGAGCGGAGGAGGTTGCCCCTATTTCTGAGTTCAAAGACCAGGCTCCAAGAGAGTTTTGAAAGGAGTAGTGACAACCTTAGAAAACACCTAGGATTCTTTCACCAATCAACCAAATAAATGTGACAAATTAGCAATGGAATGGCTTGGCATGAGGAGCTTGTGGCATGGGAGCTAAGCTTTCACAAGTTTAGCAATTTGAGAGAGAGAAAAACATGAGTTTATCATAAACAGAGAGAAGGCTGTGAATTCCTATGAGGAACAGGAGTTCTAAGGAAAGGGAAGTGATTCTAAGAAGGTTGGCTAAGGGGGGAGAGAGATGAGGAGGAACGATGGGTGGTTTAAGTAATTTCCAGCAGCTTGACGAAAAGTCTGTCAAGATATGGAATAGTTTGCTAGAAGAGAAAATTGGAGGAGATGGAGAGTTGTGGCTCGAAATTGAAGGGTTCCAGAGGTGAGAGATGATGCTTGCTCTCTGGGTCTGGTTTTGCTTGCCTTCAATTTAGTTGTTTTCAATGGGTAGAAGACACTCCCTTTTATAGCCGATGGAAGCTCCTCCTTCCCAAGAAACCCTAAAAGCTTTTCTCCAATTTTCCCAAGTCTCCCCTTCCCTTTTTCTTCTCTCCTTTCGATTCATCCTCTTTTATGCAATTTTCCTCAGTCCAAACACACCAAGACCAGGTTTTTGGGAGCTCTAAAGCCTTCCCGCAGCTGCTCCAGCGTTGAACTCCTATTTTTGGTTATCATCTCACCTTCTTTCCTTCCCTCTTCTATGGCCAGACCTGGTGGGAGAAAGAAATTGGTAAGGGCGCTGGTCTGAATGGTGTTTTGCTCAAGTATCCTTTGGTTTTTTGGATGGCTTGTGTTGGGATTTGTCTTTGGCCATGTGCTGGAGGCTCCCAGCAGTCCACTCACATGGGTAGCTTTGGTTTTGTCGTTGTTTTTGTTTCCAGCTAAGTGCTGGAGAGATGGCTGATATTTTCCTTGGTTACTTGGGCCTCTCTAAGGTGATGGGTTAGCCCATTAAGGGGATGGGCTAATTTCCTGAAGTGATGGGCTATTTTATTAAGGTGAAGGGCTAATTTTTCTAGAGTATTGGGCTTCCTTTTCTCTCTCTTTTATGCTTAC